AGCGGCTCTCCGGCATGGCCACGGCCCCAGAAGCACTAGGATTTAATGCAGAAAACCAGCAGCTTGGAGCAGAAAAGCGAACAAACGGACTATGCGTTAATCCAGGCCATCATGCCGGCCCGGAGAGGAAAGGGTGTTGCCTCCTTTGCCCTCTCCTCTCTGGAAATAAAGATGGCGGCCGCATGGGAGCCTTGTGGAGAGCAGGTCTGAGCCGGGGGTGGGGGAGTGACTGAAACCTCATGGGAGGGGGGGAGGCATTCCGGCCCGTCCTTCACACCCTACCGAGGTCACCAGTTGTCCCTCACGAGTGGCTCTCCGGCACGGCCATGACTCCAGAGCACAGAAACCAATCTCTTAATTATCTGACTCTCAGTAGAAATACTTCCAGGGTTAATAAGTAAAATAGCAGAAATCCAAAACCATTGGACAGCATTTAATTCTTGAACCCAGCTGTAGAAAGCAAATCATTTCACAATGCTTTTTCAGCATGGCTGATTTGGGGGGAGGGGGGTAAAGTCTAAATAATAATGGTGCAACTTTTATTGAAACAATGAAGCTAGTCAAAGTAGATAGAGTGTTAACTAGAATTCATCTGCCCCACAGGCATGGGGGGGTTTATTGGGGTTCTTCGTGGTGAAAAATAAGTATTGGTAAAGGGAAATGTGATTGATAGTTGCATGACCGAGACCTAAACCTGAAAGCTTTGTAACTTTTCCCACAGCGATTCAATAAATAAATAAATAAATAAAAATAAAATAAAATAAAATAAAATAAAATGAAGAGAGGAATTTAATAGACACTTCCTCAAAGAAGACATACAGCTGTCTCCAACAAGTCCCTCTTCATCCAAATAATTCTAAATGGTCTTCTTTGGGTCAGGTGTCCACCCTCAGAAAAAATAAATTCTTCTCTTTTATTGGTCCTCCTTGCACAAGGAATGTGAGGTCAAGAGAAACATAAAGAGAGGTATCATTGTAATTTTGTAAAGAATGGCGTGTACAAGAAAGATAAAGGAACAGAAATACATTTTATATCATTACCAGAGACCAAACTCATTTAAAATCTTAGTATGGTAACATACATCCCATTTTGTTAGCAATTTCACACATTACTGGAGTATATTAAGATTCATGTATTTATTTTTAGTAAGTTACCATGATTTACAAAATTATTCATAGTGGAATTTTAGGAATACAGTGTTCCAACACCAAATCAATCACCATTGTCAACTTCCCTCGACCAATATCGCCATATTTTCTCCCACCTCCATCCTGCCTCCTTGATAGGTGCATTCTTTTTCCGTTTGGAAGGCACAGCTTACAATGCTCAGGGTAACTTCTGGCTCAATGATCAGGGATCACTTCTGGTGGGCTCTGGGGTTCGTATAGAGTGCTGGGGATCAAACCTGAGCAAGCAGGGGCTGGAGCAATAGCACAGCGGGTAGGGCATTTGCCTTGCAGGCTGCCAACCTGGGTTCGATTCCCAGCATGCAATATGGTCCCCTGAGCACCGCCAGGAGTAACTCCTGAGTGCATGAGCCAGGAGTAACTCCTGAGCATCGCCGGTGTGACCCAAAAGGCAAAACAAACAAACAAACCAACAAACCTGAGCAAGCCATGTGCAAGGCAAATGCCTTTCCTGCTACGCTAACTTTCTGGCCCAGACTGACATATTTTGAAGTTTGGTTATTGTATTTTGGGGTCTATGCTTGCAGTGTTATTGGCTCTGCAATTTAGATATACCTATAACACATCGCTATATCACCGATGTACCTGACCCCTGCCCTCTGCCCCTGATGCCTCCTGTCCACCCGTTCTTACTTTCCTTTTGCTTTCTTTCAATATACTTCACCTAATTTTAGAGTTTGAGATACCAAGAAAGTATCCTACTCAGGATGCAAAGTCAGGGAATTTTCTGGAGACTTGGGTATGCTTTTCTCATTTTTTTTCTCAATCACAAGTGTCTAGAATTTCAATTACACATCTCAGATTGTTGGTCATTACTACTACTAGGAAGAGTGACTGTATCCATAATTATATTCACCAGTCTGGCTTGACACTAACAGCTTAAAAGACTTAAGAACCAGCATTACTGGGAGAAAAAAAAAGCTGTTAGCTGTTAGCGCTTCAATTTCATTCATTCTCCATTTCTGGTCAGTATTAATCAACCAACACTTATTGCCCCTTTGTCAAATTTTGCCTGTCTTCCCAGGAGCAGTGCACATTACACTTTTCTTGGGCAGTGATCTCAAAAGGGAAGTTACTTTCAATAAAAGAACGATTTTACTCTTCATTGCAACCTATCTCTCTTCCCCCAGCTGTGAAACTGATTGAGGTTCTTAAGACTCTCAAGAAATATCTACTCACAGCTCTGTGATTACTTTTGTAAAGGAGAAAAACTTACATGAATGTTTGATTAATCATGGAAAAAATTCTTTTTTTGAAGTTTCTTCCCAGTTGTAGAGGATGGTAAGAGAAGCCAGAAAACATTCAAGAAATAGATGGATGTGAAGCAAGCAATATTATTTTCCAGTATGTAGGTATCATGATCACTGTCCCATAGATTGCTCAGCAGATCACAGACACCAAAAGGTAGTTTGAAAAAAAAGTGGGAGAGACATAATGAGTTAGGTAGAAGAGGGCAGATAAACCAGTGGGCTTGGTAAGAGAAATGCAGAGGTGTTGATAAGTTTCAAAATTGGAGTGGAGAAATTGGGGAGTAGTAGAGGGATGAGAAAGATGGTGTAGAAGGTAAGGTGATTGCCTCACATATGACTGATTCTAATTCTATACATGGCACTGCAAATGGCTCCTTGCCAGGATTGGCCCCTGAGCATAGATCTGGGAGTTCCCCCTGAGCAGAGCTGGATACGATCCAATGGCTGCTGGGGGAAAAAATGCAAAAGATGGTGAGAATAGATTTTTAAGGTATTTTATTCATTATTGGGCTGGAGTGATAGCACAGAGGTAGGGCATTTGCCTTGCACATGGCCGATCTGGCAGACCCAGATTCGATTCCTCCGCCCCTCTCGAAGAGCCCGGCAAGCTACCGAGAGTATCTTGCCCGCACGGCAAAGCCTGGCAAGTTCCCCACGACGTATTCGATATGCTAAACACAGTAACAAGAAGTCTCACAATGGAGACATTACTGGGCCCACTTGAGCAAGTCGATGAACAACGGGAGGACAGTGCTACAGTGCAGTGCTTATTCGTTATTAGGCATCTCTGTCTCAATTTAATTACATGAGAAAATAGGTAGAGTTCAAAATTATTTTTGTATCTGTCAAAATCCAGTCAGAAAACTAGAAATCACCATATTTCAAGAGAAGGAACAGCATATCAAGAGTTTATTATATGGTTAATGGGAAAGTGAAAAACGCCAGCATAGATATACAGGCAACGTGTAACAAGTGGGGTAGTTTGTTCAAGGGAAATTAGAAGGCGGTGTTTCTACTTAAGCCCAAAAGTCAAGCCCTGAGACAGGAACTAGAGCTACTGTGGTGAAGGTTAGCAGAAGCTCATGTCACAAAGGCAACTGCTAACTAGTAAGAGCTGGAGCCACATTGGAAACCACTTCAGCTCTGTACACTGAAACAGAAAGCTAAAGGAAGAAACACTCTGGCTTCTCCTCTTCCTTCAATTTGGTGGAACACACCGGAAGTCAGAGGTCAAGGAACCTGGCAGATATAATTTTCGCTGAAACAGCAGAGCAAGGAACGTGTGGGGACTAGATCTGAGAGAATAGGTAGAATTAACTGGTACATGTTTAATTGTTTAACCATGTTTCGTTGAATTAGTCTTTGTGTTTGTGTGTTATGGGGACTACACATGATCCAAGACCATTGATGACAGTTGAGTAACTCTCTTTAAATGTCAAAAAAGTAAAAAAAAATAATGTTACTTTACTAATTATCATAATACTGGACAATGTCTCAAGTGGTATGGCATTAGGCAACAAACAAAAGATTTCACACCTTGTGGGAATTGTTCCCCTAAAAAGACTCCAAGGTCTCCAACTATCCCCTGGGAGAAAAGTTTAGCAGGAAACTGTCCTAGTATAATAGAATTGGTGATTAACATGACTTCAGTGCTGTCATCATAAAAGATTTGCTGATTTCTTATCAAACTCTGGTCATAGATATATAAATATCTTTGTACACAAACTGTATGTATATGTAAATGCCTCAAGAATAGCCTGGTTGATGGCAACCAGAGAGAAGGTAATGCTGAAACTAAATAAATAAGCCAAGACTGACTTTTGCAGGGTAAGTCACAGTGTTGGTTTCACTCTTTGCTACTGACCCCACAGGACAGGCCTGAAGTGCTGATTCAACTGGCTTTTAGTGGCAATCCTCTTTAACCTCTCCTGTTTTCATTCTCTTTTGTTCCTCCAGTTTCTTCGTTCACTATAATTGTTGAACAATGAGCCTTGTGAAGTTAGTCAATTTTGATCTTACAGTGTGGTTAGTTAGCATCCTAAATTCCTGTCTCTCTCAGGCCCTAAAAGCTGTGTGTGTGTGATAGAAAACAGCTACTTATGGTTTCTAGAGCTGATATGCTTTTGTTCTGATCCTGTTTACACCCCACTGTAAAGGATATTATGGCTTCCAGGGAATACTACAGTCATCCACACTTAGTTGTATTTGTAATGATTTAGGTACAGATTTGGCACAGTTAAGCATTTAAAAAATATTCTGGTCAAAAGTATGGTGACACTGTTTGGGTTTCAAATCCGAACTCCACTATTTCCTTAATTGTGTGTTATGGGTCAAGACATTTAAGTCCTCTGTGTTTCTCACATGAAAATGCTCTCCCGTTGATAAGACAAGCTGAATTTATATGTATCTTTGTGTGTATGTATAACCACACCTATATCAACTTCTGGGTGCATATATTTGTGTACATAAAAAAGAGCTTGTCAGTTAACCAATGATTAGCGATTTCTGATTCTACAAAAGGAAACATTACCATAAGTCTGCTGTTTTCATTTCCTCATACAAAGAAGCACAGCAAAGAAGAAAGACAGACACAAGACACTGAACCTCTGTCACCATGGGGATCTGGGTTGTGAATGAAGGACTCTCAATCTTTGTCGTTGTAAGTACCAATACAAGATAAACTATGAATTATTTGACTTGTCTGAGTTCTCTTGGGTACTAAAAATAGAGCAAATCTTTTTGATTTGTTTTGTTTGTTTGAAATATTACATTGATTTATGGTGTGAGTTTATATACAAGTGATTTATTGGGTGAACATAAATCTATCTGTAAACAGACTGAGTCTATTCTTCCAAACTTATTAATGGAAAATATATCTGGAGTCTGACTTCACCTAGATTATTTCTTGAAATTTTACATTGGCTAGCATTTCACAGGGACAGGAGAAGATATTTTTTGCTAATGCTTATTTAGAGTTTTTATTAATGCTTAGAAGCAAATTTCTCTAGTTCTCATGTGTTTATAGTGTGTAAAAATGACTGATTGAGGGAATCATGGAGATAGTATAGTGGGTAGGGCACTTGCTTTATGGGTTCAATCCAGGCACCCATGCATTTCCCTGAGCACCCAGGAGTGATCCCTGAGTGCAGAGCCAGGAGTAAGCCCTGAGCACAGCCGGCTGTGCCCCCAAAGCTAAAAAAAATGCCATTTTCAAAATAACAAGTAAATGATGAGTTCAGTTCATGTAAGAAGGACAATCTCTAACTTTTTAAAATGCTTTTTTATTATATATTTGAATTATTTAGGAGATTATAAAAAGTCAAGGGAAGAGAATTGAAATAAGATCTCTACTCATATGTATCTGTGATTTATTGTATATAATTATATTTGTCAATAAAATTGCTTAGATATAATTGTGTAAGTAAAATATGGCTAATTTTCAAAGAGGCATGTTAATATCTGTACTTTTTTTGTTGCGGGGTGGTCATACCCAATGATGCTTAGGTTTTACTGCTGACTTTGTGTTCAGAGATCACTTCTAGCAGTGCTTAGGGGACCATATACAGTGCTTGGGATTGAACCCGAGTTGGCTGTAAGATAAGCACCTTACCTACTGTACTCTCTCTCTAGTCCTGTCTCCACTTATTTTTTTAACATAGGAAAAATCAAGTAGACTTTTAGGATGGTCTCAGCAAGGCAACCATGGACAACTAAGAAGTTAGAAATATGATTTATAAACAGTTCTTTCAAATAGCCAGTAAAGGCAGTATACAGAAGTTGATAAGACCACTTAAATAAATGTAACTCTTGAAAGAATTGATCATAAAATAAATACTGAGTGTACAAATTTTAGAATTAGAAATTAAGACACAAGTAAATTAAAAGCGGCAAACGTGTTATAACATTTTCATGTAATATAGAATGCTTCTGAATCCTCAGAGTAGTTACCTAGATTTTATTCACCAGTTACTCCTTTAGAAAACAAGTTCAAATTATACGTTTAACTGCTACTACACTGTTCCTCAAGAAAATAATTTCCTTCCAATGTGCACATTCATCTTCTTGAAAGTGAAGGCACAATTTGAAAAAACAAAAGTGAGAACAAATGAGAAGGCTAGGAAATAGGGAAGTTGTTTTAGAATTATATTTGTCAAGCGTCTCTGGATAGCTTCAAAACACAGTTTACCAGAAGTCAATAGGAGATGAAAGGAGAGAACCAGACGATGTCACGGTCTGTTATGCAGTCAGTGCTTGGGAGGCACTGAACCGCTACAATCTAGAAGTAACAAAGAAAGTCCTGTACCCCTCATCCCCTTCCTGTGTACTAAGTACCTCCCACCTCCATTCAAAATTAAAAAAAACTTAACTGAATCTAATGAAAACTTAACTGAATAGAATATTTATTTGCTTATTTTGGTTTGGGGCCACACCCTGCAGTGCCCAAGGTTTCATCTTGGCTCTGTGCTCAGGGACCACTCCTAGCGGGACTTGGGCTAACTTATGTGGTGCTGGGGATGTAACCCAGGATGGCCACATGTAAGCCATGCCTTACCCATTGTCCTACCTCATCAGCCCCAAGACTTGATATTTTAACTAATGAAACTCCACTAGCTGGCATGGGAGCTGTGAGCATAGTACAGTCAGGGGTAATATAGTCTTTCCTCATTTGAAGAATTATCTTTTATCCATCTAAGAAAAGAGAAGAAAGTGGGAGAGGGGATGAATGACTGATGGTTTACTATGTGACTGACTAGATAAGTAAGGTTGAAAGGTTCATTAGATAAGAACACTGACATCATTGTGAGAAAGAGCTGGCTTTAAGCTTTGCAATTCACCTTAGTTAAAATCTGTACTTAGGGAAGTTCTGCCTCTGGTCTGTCTTAAATCTTGTGGGAAATCTACCAACTGAAATGTGAAGATTTCATGTAACTTTTGTCTGTTCATGCAGCTCTTATGGCTGGGGATAAACGTCTATCTCTTTGTCAAGTACTACATGGTTTATGCACTGCAAGACAACTATTATTATACACGAAGACTTCTTGGAGTAAGTATAAGTTACATCTCATGCAATTTTAACTGGATCATGTTTCTTATCAGAGATCATTATTCATATTTCTTACCTTTTAAATAATTATTTTAACCAACCCCAAATGCATACATACTCCTCCACTTCACTGTGATTCCCTGGGCAAGAGTCTAAACCTTGCAGTATGGGACAAGCACAAGGGTGACAGAGGGTCCCAGCAGCAACCATCCTTTCTCAAGAACCACAATTATCACCATTAAGCTTAAAGAAACAATCAAATTCTGACTCTGAATGGAAGGCCAGACTGGAGAGCTATGCACAGATGTGACACATGTGTGACAGTGGCTATTTCCTTATTCTCCGAGTTATGTCATGACTACCACTGTTGTACATGGATAATGTCGCTGCCAGAAACATGCTATGGGGGCTGGAGCAATAACACAACATGCAGGGTGTTTGCCCTGCACACAGCCAACCAGGGCTTGATCCTGGGAATCACATATGGTCCTTTGAGCATTGCTAGAAGTAATACCTGAGTGCAGAGCCAGGAGTAATCCCTGAGCATCACTGGGTGAGACCCAAAAAAGCAAAAATAAAAAATATTTTGTGAAATTATATTTTCAGAAATTAAGCTCCCTACAAATGAGAACTTCAAAGGCTGAGCTGACTAGACCAGCAGAGTCGAAGACCTGACTTTCCTTCAGTCTGGAAACTTCTGTTTCCTTGGACTACCAGTTCTCTTCTCATCACAAATGAAAATTATTAGAATTACAGCTACCCCAGAGGATATCATTTATTATTATATGATGCTGAAACCATGAATTAATTACTTAATAATACTAATTATAGCATATTACAAATCATAATTATAAGCAATTATATGATTATACTGCTTTATTATAATTGTTAACTTACTCAGGTTGATGCAAAAAGGGTGATTTCCCATTATTTCCCCCTCCAAAAGATGCCAGTTCTTTAGGCAGGACAAAAATAACGATAATGTTAGAGCCTTGCTCCGTGCCAACTTAAGTTACTGTTAGGTCAGTCTGAGTGGTTAAAACCTTCTTTAAAATGGCCCAATTTCTATACTGAACTATGGTTTATGATAGGCAAGCTCAAATATTTATTATGATGTTATCTTCATAAGTCAATATCTACAACTTAGGAATGTATAGAAAATGAAAGGCTGGGAGATAGTACAGCTTGGCACAAGCCTGATCTGGGTTGAATTGTGGCATACGAGCGTCACCAGATGCAACTCTGAAGGCCTTCAGCACCACTGGAGTAGTACAGGTCAGCCCTGATACTGCAGCGTGTGGTCTGAGCTGCTTCCATCTTGGGCTCTTGTATTGAACGGCCTGCCTGGTTGGCCAAGAATCTCAGGTAGGGATGCCGGGTCTCCTGAGCACTGCTTGGAAGATCCCTTTTCCCAATACTAGATGAATTGACGGATGAATGGAAAGATGGGAGATGGATGAATAGCTGGCTAGGTATATGATAAAGCAAGAATAATAAAATATTAAAGGTAGAATCCTAAAGACAGTGTAAATATGTATTCATGGTGAAAATCTTTCATACTCTATATTAAAAAGTTTAATAAAATTCTCTTTTCATAATAAAATGTGGGAGTTAGTGAGTAAGAGTCAGAATAAAACAAAGGGTCCCCGGGCTGGAATGATATTACAGTGGGTAGGGCACTTGCCTTGCACATGGCCAACCCGGGCTCAATTCCTTTCATCCCATATGGTCCCCTGAGCCCATCAGGAATGATCTCTGAACACAGCGCCAGGATTCAGTCCTGAACACTGCTGGGAGTGGATCCATCCCCCTCAAAAATCAAAGAGCCCCGGGTGGCCTTAAATATAAGCCCCTGGCTCTGAAGGGCCTTCCTTTCCAAATAATCTAATGTCTGGTGTGGAGGCCTTGTGCTCAAAACCTGGGGAAGCTGAAATGTGGAGTTGGGGTCTGTACTCACAGAAGTTACTTTACTTCCTATTCTGCCTCTTCCAGTCAGCCCTGGCATTTGCCAGGGCCCCTGCAGCCTGTCTGAATTTCAACTGCATGCTGATTCTGCTGCCAGTCTGTCGAAATCTGCTCTCCTTCCTCAGGGGTTCCAGTGCGGTAAGAACACACATTTACACAGTTTGAGTTCCCCAGAATTTTAAACACCCTTTTTGGGAAAAAGTCAGTTACTGGTTTGTAAGGATTCCAACGTCTGTAGAACATTGATGAGTTGAGTCAGGACTGATTTGCTAGTTTCTGCCTATATTGTCTATTGATGGAATTCCCTGAAACAACCACTTAATGCAGGTCAGACATTAAAAACTGCATGGGAACGTATGGTTGCAATGGGGTGATACCCAGATTACCCTTGACCCTCAATCATAGAAACTAAAAGGACAGGGAAGAAAAAAACAGGAGGGTTGGGGAGTAAGAAGAGACATAGTTGGTAACAGGGCTAAAGATCAGGTGCCTTGAATATATTAATGGTGTAGAGGTGTAGTATAGGTAGGTATGTGCACATATGTGGTATATGTATAGATATACATATATAAACTACAGAGCTTACAATACTGCAAGATTGAGATCTAAACTACCATCATCAAACTTAAAAATGTGTCTGCCAAGAAGGCAGATTGGAGGATGGGGGGTGGGGGAGAACCTGGGGACATTGGTGGAGGTAAGTTGACACTGGTTGTGGAGTTGATGTTGGAACACTGTACTCCTGAAACTCAGCTATGAATGGTGACTTAATATTTAATAAAAATGAACATTTTTACAGCCCCATGGGCTGGGGATATGGTTCAAAGGTAGAGTGCCTACAAGTACCATGCTAGAAATTTTTAAAAAATGATTGTGTAGGAATAATCTTTGTAACCTTTAAAATAGTACAAGAATTTGTTATTGATATTATTATACAAAAATGAGAAATGAGGAATAATGATCTACACATGCACACAAATACTATACAAAGAAAAATATGATGGGTTCTACCCAGATCTATAGAGATCACAGGAACTCAAAAGAGGGAGAAATTATATCAGGTGGGGCAGGGGATGAAAAAAGGCTTCTTAGATATGGTGGTGTCAGATATAAGCATAGAGGATAAAAATAGACCTTTAAGAGATATGAGAGAAAAGAATATTCTGCTGGAGAAAAAAGCATGAGGAAATAGTACAGAAATGGTCAGGAAATCATAGTATTAGTGTGACATGAGGCTGGTCCTTGGGTTCATTTGTCATTCTTGACCATACCAAAGAGAAAAATTAGGCACTGATGCCCTAGTGGGACCTATTCCACTTGTTCATTAGTCATTGATTGTTTTTCCATTAAATAAAATGTATGTGCTTCATATCAACTATCTCAGAAAAATTATCCATTTGTGGGAGATCACTTACAGAGTAAAGCAACAATCTAGTTTCATGGGATAGTAAAGGGCAGGTGTATAAGGTGACACTGGTGAAGAGAGCTAGAGCTTTGTTGGGAAACTGGGCCCTTAAATATATACTTGGAGAATTATAAATATGACAGTCACAGAGTATTTGGGGGAAGGAAAGTGGTCTAAATGAGAGATTTTTCAACTGAAAGTCCAAGGGTTGATACAAGGGATGAATGCTGTTCTGCAAATCTAAAGGGATTGCAAACAGTTGATACAGGCTAGAACTTGCCTTGAACTCTGCCTAACTTTTTCTAGTCATACTTGATTTATATTGATTCTAAGATCTTTTTCCTTTAAAAAAAATACCACTATATAGGGACTGTGAAGACAGTGCAAATGTCAGGAAACATGCCTAACACCCACCCCACCCCAGTTTGTTCCCCAACACCACAAAGACGCCCAGGTATTGAAAGGTGTGGCCTTATAGACCCCTAAGTGCTGCAGGGGTGGTCCTGATGGTACATGGACTCACAGGATCTGAGTGGCACTGCATCCTCAGGCCCTTACATTGAACTGTCTCCCCATTGTATCCATTGTATGAATATTTCTGGATGTGATCTCCTCTGTGCCCTTTGAGTACCACTTGGGATGCCCAAAAAATACAGTTTTAAAAGACATGATGTAGCTTGGCTTACTAATGGAGAATTAGTAGGGGACATACAACTAACAGTGGTCATTGGTTGTTAGAATTATCCAGTAATTTTCTCAAGCTGAGAAACCCCAGAGTTCATCAAATTCTATTTGGCTGAAGCTTTTATCGATGAAGTTCAATATCAGGGACTTTGAAAGGACAAACACTTGCAAAAGGAAGCTCATGCACTGTGAGTGTTTAAGAAGACATGATTTATTTTTCTTCTTCCCTATACCTACAGAGACTCTGTTTGAATATTTCCTAATTAGAGGAAGTAGGGCTGGAGCGATAGCACAGTGGTAGGGTGTTTGCCTTGCACGCAGCCGGCCCACCCGAGCCGGGTTCGATTCCTCCGCCCATCTCAGAGAGCCCGGCAAGCTACTGAGAGTATCTCACCCACACGGCAAAGCCTGGCAAGCTACCCATATCAATATGCCAAACACAGTACAACAAGTCTCACGATGGATACGTTACTGGGTCTGCTTGAGCAAATCGATGAACAATGGGAGGACAGAGGAAGTAAGTCCTGAGAAACAGGCAGTGTTTTCACCAGAATGGCTCATTGGGAAATCTTTGTTACCCCACATGCCTGTAATTGCACATTAATTGAGCTACCCTGACCTATGAGCAGCACATGTTGTAATGGCCACTGTCAGGCTTCCTATATCTAGGAGGGAGGATCCTCAATAAGTTGTCTTAAGTAGGTATGAAATGAGTCTGCTTTGCAAAGGGCAGGGAAGCTCAGCTCCATAACTAGACACTTACGTTTAAAAAATATTATGTGATCTAAAGAGAAACCAGAGCTAGTGATAATGCAACCGGTAGAGTGTTTGCCTTGCACACAGCCGATTCAGGTTTGGTCCCCAGCACCCCATATGGTCTGCTGAGCACTGCCAAGGACTGCCAGGGTGCCCCCCGCAAAAAATCCCTCCCATGTATATGATATATATTATATATCAAATTCTACTGCTAAATTATAAAGCAAGTGACACAATACAAATATAAGAGTGAAAATGGCATTCTAAAATTATATTGATTAATCCTATCATGCATGAATATATGTATGTATATATATATATATATGTTTCTTTTTTTACTTTTTGGGTCACACCCGGCAATGCTCAAGGGTCACTCCTGGCTCTGACTCAGGAATTACTCCTGGAGGTGCTTGGGGACCATATTGGATGCTGGGTATTAAACCTGGGTTGGCTGCATGCAAGGCAAGCATCTTACCTGCTATAGTATTTCTCCAGCCCCTATCTGTGTATTTATTTATTTATTTATTTAAATCATTTTGAGATACACAGTTACAAAGCTGTTCATGACTGGGTTTTAGTCATACAATGTTCCAACATTTGTCCCAACACAAGTATATATTTCTCACCACCAGTGTCCCCAGTTTTCCTCCCCCATCCCCGGACCAGCCTGCCTCTGTGGCAGGCACTTCTCTCTCTTTCTCTCTCTGTCTCTCTCTACCTCTTTGGGCATTATGGTTTGCAATACAGATACTAAGAAATTAACATATTTGTTCCTTTACCTACTTTTAGAACTCAGTTCTTTTCCAGAGTGAACATTTCCAACTATCATTGTCATAGTGGTTCCTTCTCTATCCCAATTGCTTTCTCCTCCAGCACCTGAGGAAGACTTCTAACTGTGGACCAGTCCTCCTGGCCTTTGTTTGTACTGTCCTTGGGAATTAGTCTCATACTATGTTTTTTATATCTCACAAATGAGTGCATTCATTCTGTCTGTCTCTCTCCCTCTAACTCATTTCACTCAGCATAACACTCTCCATCTCCATCCATTTATAAGCAAATTTCATGACATCATTTTTCCCAGGAGCTGTATAGTATTCCATAGTACAATACTTCCTTATCAAGTTATCTGTTCGTGGTCACTCAGGTTATTTGCAGATTCTGGCTGTTGTGAATAGTACTGCAATGAACATAGAAATGCAGATGGCATTTCTGCTGTGTGTTTTTGCACCACTGAGATATATTCCCAAAATTGGTATTGCTGGGTCATATGGAAGCTGAATTTCAAGGTTTTTGAAGAATGCCCATATTGGTTTCCAGAAAGACTAAACCAGTTTCCATTCCCACCAATCATGAATGAGAGTTTCTTTCTCCCTGCATCTGTGCCAACACTGATTGTCCTTGCTCTTTTTTATGTGTGCCAGTCTTAGTGATGTAGAGAATTTTCTTTCATGTGCCTTTTGGTCATTTTTATTTCTTCTTTGAAGAAGTTCCTGTTCATTTATTCTCCCTACTTTTTGATTGGGTTGAATGTGGTTTTTTTTTAATTTTTATTAGTGAAACACCATGAGGTACAGTTGCAGACTTACAAATTTTTGTGCTTGGATTTCAGTTATTCAATGATCGAGTACCCATCCCTCCACCAGTGCCCATTCTCTACCACCACTGATCCCAGTATCCCTCCCACCCCCCATCACCCCTATCCCACCCTGCCTCTATGGCAGGGCATTCCCTTTTGTTCTCTCTCTCCTTTTGTATGCTGTGGTTGGGTTGAATGTTTTGATCTTGTAAAGTTCTACCAGTTCCTTATATATCTTGGATATTAAATTCTTATCTGATGGGTATTGGGTAAATAACTTTTTCCCTTCCATGTGCTGTCTTTATATCTTGGTCACCATTTCTTTTGAGGAACAGAAGCTCCTTAGTTTAATGCAATTTGTTTATCTTTGCTTCCACCGCTTGGCCAGTGGTGTTTCATCTTTAAATATGCCTTAGCTTCAATGTCATGGATATATGTATATTTTTTAAAAACTTAGTAGCAAGTAACATTCTCTTGAAGAAGATGAGGTGTCTCCCACCTTCTGGGTTTCTCAGCCTGAAATGTAAAATTTGCAAATTTCTTTCTGATTAGATTTAAGATGAGAGTATATCCTGTTACTAATATTGGAAATCAATGTAGCCGCCACTTACAGAGACTTCATATCATTTATTTATGAAAGATGACCATCAAATCAATGACATGGAGGTGAAATTGGGATGAAATGGAAACTTTAGGATTCAAAGTCATTGTAGCCTC